GTGACATACATTGTCTTCCACCTCCTCTGGACCTGGATGGAGAGTCCTAGTTGTCTTTGGACTTAGCCAACTCAGTCCATCACTGGAAAGTATCCCCAAATTTCCTTCACCCACCACATGGGTGATTCCACTTGTACTGTATGACACTTGACCTTTGTGACAGCACTTGTCTATTATGGTCAACAGTTCAGATTTCTATCCTTTCTGATGGACGTAACCATCACAGGAACCATAGCTTCATCTCTGAGAACACCTAGAACAGGACCCAGCCTGACATAAGCATTTGTGATGGTTTATTTTGAGCAGTAGCTTGACAGGAACTAGAATCACCTAGGAGACAAACCTCTGGCCATGCCTCTGAGGCAGTTTCTAGATAAGGTTAGTTGAGGTAGGGAGACTTTCCTTAAATGTGGGCAGCACTATTCCCCAGGTTAGAGTCTTAGACTGAATAAGGAGAAAGCCAACTAAGGACCAGGATTCACCCCTCTCTCTGCTTCCTGGCTGCAGATGAAGTATGACCAGCTGCCTTATCACCCTGCCCCCATGACTTCCTCACCAAGACAGACTACAATCCCTTTAAAACTGTAAGCTTGATTATCCCCTCCCTCCCATGAGTTGCTTCTTACCAGGTATTTTATTATAGCAACAAGGAAAGAACTAATACAGCACTTGAGAAACATACTAGAATAAAAAAAATGAATGAACCAAACCAACCTAGCTAATGTTATCAACAAATCTACCCTTCTTTAATTCTGTGATTGGTTCTTAGATGCAAGAACCTACAGGTTATAGCTTTGAAGCACTCATGTCACTTAGGACAGAGTAACTATCTTGCATGTACTCCTTGACTTCTTACTCAGGGAGCCCTTTACATCTTCCTCTGTTCAGAATTATTTTTAAAAATAGGACTGTGAGAGGGAGATTTTGAGTCTTTGCTATTTTTGGATTGGGACTCAAGAGCTGGCATTTTTAAAGTTATAACAACTGAAAATAACTTATTTTTTCTATTTATGAAAATATTTTTGTAAATAGTAAACGGTGAAAATTAAGGAACATCCCTGAAAGTCAGGCTTCCCATAAACTTAGTTACCTCTTGAAAAGAACAGCTTAGTCCTTTTAACTAAGTGTAAGAGAGGATTGATTATTTAAAAGGAAATTAAAATCTAGGTGTTCAGATGTTGTGATTCAATGTTCCTAGATACCAATGTGAAGCTAAAGAACAATTCAGGTCTTTTTTTCTGTGTGGTACTGAAGATTGAAACCTCACATATGTTAATAAGCACCCTATGACTGAGCTACACCCTGACCCAGAGCATTAAAAGTCTTAAGCATGTGATGTGACGTTGAACATAAAAACCAAGCACTGAAAATTCCTGTAAAGATGGCAATTGCAAGACATTCCATTGAGTCACTTCTATCATCACGTAAGTCAAATGGAACATGCAAATGAAGAAATCGTCTCTAAAATTATAAATTTGGAGAGAACCTCAGAAACCTTAGAGATTTTTCATTGCCAGTGTTTGGAAGGGTAGCATGAAGGGACAGGCATGGAATCAGGAGTCAGAAAACTGTAGCTGCCAGCTTTTAAAAGTAAATTTTATGATAAATTTAAAAGTAAATTCCATGCCTGTTTATGTGTTACTGTAACTTTTCCTAGGAAATTGTAAACAAAGTGTGCTCTCCTTACCTCCCACAGGGACCAAAGACAGACCAAACTATGATTCCACCAACATCTACCTGACCAACCAATGAGCTTATTAGATTTATTTACAGATCATGGGAGAGGAGATAATGACAGGAGCACAGGGGACTCCAAAACAGTATGGATAACGAATTCCTCTACCTGCATAGATGGTAGTCCCACAACCCTTCCCAGATATCCCATAGTCTAGATAGCCCCACAGTCTATGTTCTCCAGCCCTGCCTGAGACCACATGCAGATTTGGTAGAATTACACACAGCTGGCCTGCAGGAGCAGGCAGGAATGGCTGAGATCTCAGGTGACGATGTCATGAGACTCCCTAGGCCCTCCTACTATGAAGGAACATGAACAGTCCCAATCTTGAGGGGCTCATGGGTAGTTACAGCTGCTCTGATGAAGATGGTAATGACTGTTATGCTCAGAGGACAGCACTCCACAGTATGATGTGTTGTTTATAGCTGCCTTTTATTAGAACAGCAGACAGGGATAGTCTCAACAGAGCTTATATCTTTTACAAAATACTTACTGTCTGAGCCTTTATATGCAATGCTAGGCTATTTGTGTTCTATGTTTTCTTACACCTCCTACCTGAGAGGGAACAGCTAACCCAGGCACTAAGATGGAGATGCTGGGGAGAAATGAGGGTGGAGGTGATGGTGAGATGAGGCCCAGCTAGAGCATGTTCCCACCATTGCCTTTGTAGACACAGGAATACCAGTGGCCATCTCACAGAGGCAGACCCCAGTGGTGTGGCCCTTGACCTGCTGCTTTTGGTACTTTGAGCCTCGCTAGGTGGAAAATGGAGTCGTTCATGGATAATACTGCCCAATACTACCCTTCCAAAAAACTCATGAAATTTTCAGCTGAGAGGCACAACAGACTTCTTGACATCAACAGCCTCTGTATATCTGGCATCCTTCCTATACCCACAGGCTTCTTGAAGTCCACACCAGCAGAGGAGAAATCAAGGCAAGATTAACTTCAAAGGGAACTTTGAGAATTTATTCCAAGGAGATTTGAAATAGGACATACAGATTATCTGAAGAGAATCACCTTACAAGGTCAGAAAAACATAGAACCCCTTTTGGAAAGACATCAAGAGAAAGAAAGTACTAGAAACAGGCAAAATGTCTACAGTTCCCAAATAAGGAACCTCACAGAAATCAGAGGCAGTCACCTTCCTGTGAAAATTATTGCAAGGGAAAATAATTTAGAAACTTGCCAGTTGCATCCCCAACATAGTATAAGAGGTCACTATGGTCATAAAACTAAATCAGGTAGTCACAAGGAGTAAGGAAAACCTGAATTGATGCACAGGTGCTGTAGCTAAAGTGGAAAGGGTACTAAAGGCACAAAATGCTCTATTCCATGGAAACTCGTGGGTGCTTCTCTTTTGCACATCCACAGTCACTGAAAGCAAGAGAAGCTGGGGCAAGAAATATTCTGGAAGTTTATTTGGTAGACACATTCCATTTGACATTTGGTGCTTGTCTTTGATTTCTGCTCCTGAAGTAGAAGGTCACAGACTGGGTGAATTGTAAACAGTAGAACTTATCTTGGTTCACAGCTTTGGAGACTGGGAAGTCCGAGAATATGATGCCTCTGGAGAGAACCTCAGTGGTGCATTATGACAAGGCAAGAACACAGTGTGCACACAAGACACAAAGAAATCAGGCTGAACACATCCTGTCTCCAGGAATTCCATCAGGTGACATTAATCCTCTTTTGTTTTTCTAAAGATTTATTTTTATTTCATTTATTTCTGTATGTATGTGTGTGTGTGTGTGTGTGTATGTGTGTGTGTGTGTGTGTGTGTGTGTGTGTGTGTACATATGCATGCAGGTGCCACAGAGGTCCAAATGGGGTGTCAGATCTCTTGGAGCTGGAGGTACAGGTACTTGTGAGCTATTTGATGTGGGTGCTAGGATCTGAAGTCCAGTCCTCTGATAGAGCAGTTAGCACTCTTTTTTGAAAAATTTGTTTTTATTAAATTTTGTTGTATTTCATACAGAATATCTCAAACAATCTGAATCATCTTTATAGCCCCATCCCCACCAGCACCCTCCCATAGACACCCCACTGGAATCCATATACTCTGTCCTGGGTGTTAAGACCCACTGTGTCAAGTCAGTGTCCCCAGACATTCCCCAGTGCATTTTCTTTTTTTTAACAGAGCACATGGTGGGGGGGTTATTTACAAAGGAGTGGGTACCCCCCATTTATGGCTGCACTGGAAAGTCCACACTCAAATACAGATCCTGTGACTTCCTGACAGATGCAGAAAATGGTGAGAGAGGGGCCTCCTGGTGTTCTCAGCTTATATATCCTTAACCCCCCCCCACATGCAGCTAAAGTCAACTGATTGGGTGGGAGGGGTAACTGACTCCCCCCTTGACTCCTTGATGAGCATGGGAAGGAGGTGTGACTATAGCTTGCTGGCATAGTGGTCAGAGTACACTTCTAGGTAACACTCCACCCCTTCCTCCAGCTCTTACATTCTTTCTGCCAACCTCTTCCACAAAAGTCCCTGAGCCTTGGAGAGGGTGGTATATGTGGGATGATCTTCCTCCTATTGTGGTAAGGCACTGAACTTTCCAGTCTTGAGCAGTAAGCACTCTTAACTGAACCATCTCCAGCTCATCATCCCACCTGTTTACACTATCAGAAATTATATTTCATGGACTCTGGACTGCCAAATCATACTCACTTCCATTTTCATACCTTGCCTTACTCATTACTTAAACAAATAGCACTCCAAAAGACCCAGATGGATCTGAGTTATTATGATGTCTTGATATTAAAACCTGTCATAAATCATGCTCCACAAGTTGATAAAGCCAATTCATCTTGCGGGGGGAGAAGTAGACTTTAAAGGAGCTCTGTAATTCTGATCCAACTACATCCTAATCCAGCCTCTAAAACAGCATTGCCACATTCACAGCATCAACAGCACCTCGGAGCTTGTTAGAAACATGAATTACAGGATCTACCTCAGAACCACTGACTCAAACACTCTGGAAGGAGAAGCAAATTTGGTTTGAAGAAGTTCTGCAAGCAAGTAGGGTACGTGTGAGCTTTGAAAACCATTGGTATCACCATTAGGAAGGAAGACTGGAAGACAGCGGTTGTCAGTCTTGGTTGCATAACAGCAGTATGATCTGGAGAGTGTTAAACAAGCCAAAGTGGTTTTGGTTTTATTTTGTTTGTCTGTTTGTGGTTTCTACTTATTTTTTCAACTCTTTATTCTTAGAAGCAATGTTATTATCAACATCATCATCACTTTGATGATCTTGAGTAGCATATTCCTTCTTGTATTTATCAAAACTTATACTAAACAAAGAGCTCTGGGTTGCAAAAGATTTATTTTTGCACCTATCTTTTATGTCATTATCTATCAGTTCAACAAAATCACACAAGTATGACTTTATGCCTTCTTGACCCAAGAAAAAATAAGTCTGAGTCTCTAGGGGTAAGATGTGGGTGGTTCAAAAGGAAAACCAAATTTGAGAAATCTATTGCTTAAGGCAAAAGGTAGAGAGAAAAACAAGGCCCCATCCTGCAAAACAAAAATATAGACTATTGAAGAAGGTATGAACAGAGGAAAGAAACAAACTCAAGGAGAAAGGTGAGTGGGTTTGTGCTATGCAGAGGAAATGCAAACAACAAGGCAGGCTGGAGGTGTAACTTGGTTAGCAGAGTGCTTCCCTAGCTTGCCTGAAGCACAAGGTTCCATCTGGGCTTGGTAGTAAATACCTGGAATCCTAGCACTAAGGGAGTAGAGGCCAGAGGATCAGAAGTACAAGGTCATTCTCTGCTATAAAACAAGTGTGAGGCCAGTCTGGGATACATAAGACCCTGTCTCAATAAAAGGAAAAGATAGGTATGGTTACAGACTTACCCAACCCAATAGCAAGCTGTAGCGTGGAAATGACTTATTCCTCTGAGGAGCTATGGGAGAAAACAGGGCACCCTGGGAAGAAGGGTGGAGCCTAGCACGGTAGGAGATTAGAATGAAAAAAGGGATGGGTTGGCACTAGCTCATGGACCCTGTGGGATGCTGGGGACCTCTCGAGGGCCTTGTGGACCCCGCAAAGAACTCGGACGCAAGGTGAGGCAGATTGTGGGCAAAAGTGATTGAGAGCAGCAGGCCACTGAGCTGTGGCACAGAGCTGGGCATGGGGGTGTTCGTTTCTTTGTAAGTTACTCCCCTCTCCCCCAAAGGTATATAACTATGCAAAATTCAGATAAAGATGTGTTATATGGGTTTGTCTACCCGCATCAGGAGCAAGAGACCCTGAGGAGAGTAAGAGCAGGTCAAACAGAGAGCTGGGAAGGAGAAAAGTTAGGGCGACACAAGCTGAGAGGAAAGCAGACTGCGGGGGAGTCTGTAACACAGCTGAATCTTGGAGCATCCCTGACAAAGAAGAACAAAGAAAAAAGCTACAGAAAACACACCCAAAGAAGCTACTGAATCTGTGACTCACAGTGTTTCCTGCATAATGAATCACCTGTGGAGATTTACCTTGCCCCCACCCCCAAAGCTGTCTTCCAACCTCCAGAGCACATGACTTAATTACACTGGGTGTGACTCGGGATGTGTCATTTTAAGATTCCCCAGGAGACTATTGTATAATGAATTTGGGGAACATCTATAGTACATATGGAATAGAAAATCCAGAAGAACAGTATGTCTAGATTGCTTCTCTGTTTCTGTGATAAACACCATGACCCAAAGCAACTTGGAAAATAATGGTTTCGTTTCATCTTATAACTCCCGGGTCACGTCCATCACTGAAACCAGGGTAGGAACTTAAGGCAGGGAAAGTGGAGACAGGAGCTGAGGCAGAGATCATGGAGGAAGATATTTACTGGTTTGCTCCTCTGGCCTGTGCTCAACCTGCCTTCTTATACAACCCAGGACCGCCTGCCCCAGGGTGGCACCCCTCACAGTTGGCTGAGTACTTCTACATCACAGACATGTTCACAGGCCAGTCCATAGAGGAAATCTCTCTTCCCAGGTGTGTCAAACTGACAGCTGCTGCTGTCCAGCACAGAGTTGCCAAGCAAAGGGCAAAAACAAGTCCTGACAGGAATAAAATCTTGTGACTCCACATCAAAGAAGCTCTCTGATGCTTAGGAGAGGGACTGGAGAGATGGCCCAGTGGTTAAGAGCACTGGCTGCTCTTGCAGAGGACCCAGGTTCTGTTCCCAACACCTACATGATGGCTAACAACCACCTGAAACTCCAGTTGCAAGGGATCCAACGCCCTCTTCTGGCCTCCGTGAGCATTGCATGACATGAGTGCACTTATATGCAGGCAAAACACTCATACGCATAAAATTTAAAAATACTAAATAAATAGATAAATAAATAAGTAAATAAAAATTTAAACCCACTCTCAGAAGTAGACCTGAAAATTACCGAAGTTCTATATGCATCTATATCCCAGGAGAAAAAGTCAGGGTAATAACACACAAAAGACCACATAAAATTCTATTGTACATTTGTGTACTCCACTGTGTGAGGTACCTGGATTCAAATTCATGAAAACAGACATTACCAGGGAATGAGAGGACAGTGGGGAGTTTGTGTCCAGTGAATACAGAGCTTTCAGTTCTGAAAATGAATGCCAGTGATTACTGTATAATATTCAAAGGTATAGAATTGACTAAACTGTGAATTTCAAAATAATTTAAATGGCAAATTTATGTTTATATAGGTTTGCTACAGTTTTTAGCATATTTTTTTCAAAACAAAGGAATGGAGGCTCTTTGATAGCAAAAGGTATTGTTGGTAATTGACACAACCATTAAACCTGTAGATTCTCAAATGTGATTGTGTATTCGAAGCCACCACAGCCCTGAAACCATGCCCAGAAGAGCTGATTTAATTGGCCTAGAGAGGAGCCCCCAAAAGTGTTTTTAAGTGGTTCCCCAGGTGATGCTAATGTGTAGCTATGGTTGAGAATTGCTGTACTAAAACACAGTTAATTAAACAATTATCACTAATAATAATTATTGAAAGAAGATGTAAAATGAAAATAATAATTTAATAACAATCTGGCTCTAAGCTTCCGTGTTGTATTTACTTCTTCCTTGAATGAAAAACAATTAAGTTAGTGTAATATTGAGCCGCCATACAGCTCTTCTGGGGAGAGTCTCAGAACCCCACACAATCATAGGCATGTGGATACACATACCATTCTGTGTGAGGAATTTTGGACCCCTGATCCCAGAAGAGGTTCAGAGTTTAGCTGAGTTAGGGACGCACTAGGGCTCAGGAGAGAGGCCAGGAGGGGTGAACTGATGCCATCTAGGTTTCGGCTTCTGTTAGACTAGATGTGCTGGAAATAACTTCTACCTGTGCACCACTCGGTCACTCCCTTATGCCTCAGCTCCTGTATATTAGGCCAAAGAAGTAAATGACAGAAAACAGATATCACTGCAATTTTAATTTTGTAAAAATTGGAGAGATGGCTCAAAGGTTAAGAGCACTGACTGCTCTTGCAGAGGACCCAGGTTCGATTCCCAGCACCCACATAGTGGCTATGAACTGCCCTAACTCCAGTTCCAGGAGAATCCAAAGCCCTCTTCTGACCTCCTCAGCATTGCATGACACAGGTGCACTCATATACATGCAGGCAATACACTCATACACATAAAATAAAAAAATAATAAAATTTTTTTAAATTACATTTATTTATGTTGGTGGGTTAGGGAGAGGCACATGGTACCTGCATTTGGAGGTCAGAGGACAACTTGTGGGAGTCAGCTTTGTCCTTCCACCATATTGGTCCTGGAGCTCAAACTCAGGTCATCAATCAATCAGTCTTGGCAACAAGTGCCTTTACCTGTTGAAATTCAATATCTTATACAAAATTGGCTTTTAGTTAGATTGTTTTGACAAATGGAAGCTGACTGTGTTCTGACAATGTTTAAGGTTGGTGATCTGTGATATTATGCAGGTGAGGTGTATTAAGTGCAGTTTAGAACCAGGAATTGATACCGTGAGATAAAGTTGAATTTAAGGCTTAAATGGGTATGAGCCCAAAAGGTTAACTTTACATTTAATGCAGTTAAAATAGGCCTGAATTCAGAAGAATCCAAACAGAATTAGTAGAAAAATTTGATGTTTTTATTTTCTTCTTTATTGATAACATTTCTTTTCTTTAAAATTTTAATTTATTTTATTTTTAATTATGTGTGTACTTGTGTCTGTGTATGTACACACAGAGTGCCTGCAAAGGCCAGAAGAGGGTGTCAGATCCCCTGGAACTGGAGGGTGTCAGGCCCCCTGAAACAGGAGGTATAGGTGGTTGTGAGCCACCTGATGGAGGTATTGAAAACAAAACTCGGGTCGTCTTCAAGAGCAGGAAGCACTCTTAACTATTGACCCATCTCTCCAATGGCTGTCATTTCTAAGTCTTTTAAAGGCAGCAGCTATATTTTATCTACTGTGTATTCACAGTGCCACTCTGCCAAGGAAGTCACCCTTATTTGGCTGAGTGAATGTGTTTACATGATCCACGGACCCTGATGCAGTTAAGTGATTCATTGTCCTAGGCCTCTGTTTCCTCATCTATAACATGACGTGTCTTGCCTCTCCCAGTTCCAGACTGTGATTTTTAAAAAAAATCTTTCTTTTTTAAATGTCAATTGCCTACAATATTCTTCAAAATTAGTGTTCATCTTATGGGATGTGCAGTCAAGAAGGATTTCCCACATGAAGCAGTTTATACTGAAAAACTACTTGTTAATTTGAAATGCTATAAAACTCATATTCAGCAAAACTATAAGGTAGTGTTGCTAGGGGAACATGCATGTCACATGGACTCACATTCTGACAGCTCTTTTCAGTCCCATCCCTCGCACAGGAACATTGTCTTGAAACAGTAGGTGAGGCTGAAAGCTCTCAGAGATCAACAGCACTGGCTCAGCAAATGGTTGATTAAATAAAGACCCTATCCAGTCCAGAGGGGCCTTTAAAATGCTTTTTTTTCCTCCCCAGATTTCCCAGTGGCCTTGAAAAGCAGACCGAACTTCCTTCCTTCCTTCCTTTCTTCCTCCCTTCCTCCCTTCCTTCCTTCCTTCCTTCCTTCCTTCCTACTCTAACATACTCCCCCCCTGAAGAGGTAACCCTATCCCTCCCCTCCTTCCTTCCTTCCTTCCTTCTTTTCTTCCTTTCTTTTCTTTCTTTTTTTCTGAGACACAGTGTCAGTAATCCAGGCTAGTCTCAAATTTTCTGATATGATATATATCCAATGATATTTGATGATATATCTGATTGTGGAGAGAGAGAGAGAGAGAGAGAGAGAGAGAGAGAGAGAGAGAGAATGTGCATTTGGGTGTATACATGTGGAAGTCAGAGGACAATCTTAAGTGTCAGTCCTCAGGCACCTTCCACCTTTTGTTTGAAACAGT